TTAGGCCTCTGACAGCATTGTCTCAAGCCAGGGCCAGGCCTTCTGTCAGCCATTTTGACCTCAGTAAGCCATTTTCTCTAATCAGCATGGTCTCTAAGAAATTCAAGGGGTGATTTCTACCTCTGAACTCAAAATGCATTAACAACATTCATTTTTGTCATTTCACCCTGGAATAACCAAAGACTATAACCAAACAAAATAATCAAAACTTTAACTTCCCATATTCTTTCCCGAAAACAACCCAGTAAACTGCATGGACATATCTAACCTCTAGGTAGCCAAAGATGAAAAACTACCATGAGGCAGAGATAGAAAACGCATCTCCTCTTCATCTTTATGATTAGTTTCTCTAGTACCCCACTCCTGGTATCATGATGTGTTAGTCCAGGTAGACTAGAGAAACAAATTCATAGATACTCACATGTGTATAAGAGTGAGCTTTTTGAAGTTCACCCTGTAGTCCCATGGATCTGTGTCTTGCTTCAACAGTGTTTGAACGAAACAGGTCCCGAGACTGCCTTCCTCCAACCTTCCACCACTCTCCAGTTTCCTTTCTGGGCGTCACCTTTGGGACCATCTTCTTGCCCATCCCCTCTTATTGGGACCAGGGAACCCTTTTATTTTGTGTGTGGTGACCTCCAAACCGACCAATCATGAGCTCTTAGATCCATCAGAATTATTCCGCCGATGCTGAGGCCAGTGTCAACCATCTGGTCAGCCTGCATCTGCAGGCCTCTGACACCTGCCTCTCTCTGGGCTGCTTTTTCGACCGAGATGATGTGGCCTTGGAAGGCGGGGGACACTTCTTCCACGAGCTGGCGAAGGAGAAGCACCAGGGGCCTAGCGTCTCTTGAAGCTGCAGCACCAGCGCGGCAGGCGCACCCTCTCCCAAGATGTGCAGATGCCGTCCCAAGATGAGTGGGGTAGAACCTGGACGCCATGGAAGCTGGACTGGTCCTGGAGAAGAATCTCAACCAGGCTCTTCTGGACCTGCATGTGTGGGGTCCACTCACACTGACCCCCATCTCTGTGACTTTCTAGAGAACCACTTCCTGGAGGAGAAGGTGAAACTCCTCAAGAAGATCGGCGACCACCTGACCAACCTCTGCACACTGGCCAGACCCCAGGCCGGGCTGGGCGAGTATCTCTTCCAGAGGCTCACCCTCAAACCTGACTAGGAACCTGTGGCACCAAGCCACCTGTGAGCGACCCTGTGCCTGAACCTGTCCCGGCAACTACAGCGCCACCTC